AAGAGAAGAGAAGAGAAGAGAAGAGAAGAGAAGAGAAGAGAAGAGAAGAGAAGAGAAGAGAAGAGAAGAGAAGGGAAGAGAAGAGAAGAGAAGAGAAGAGAAGAGAAGAGAAGAGAAGAGTAGAGAAGAGAAGAGAAGAGAAGAGTAGAGAAGAGAAGAGAAGAGAAGAGAAGAGAAGAGAAGAGAAGAGAAGAGAAGAGAAGAGAAGAGAAGAGAAGAAGAGAAGAGTAAAGTAGAGTAGAGTAGAGTAGAAAAGAACGGATAAGAGAAGAGAGGCGCGAAGGGGAAAACTCGTTTTGCTCTCCGCAAACGCCCATGAACGACGACGTTCTGGAGCGACCAATGTCGTATCGCCGCCGCTGTCGTACCGTGCGATAACTTCCGTCACCTCTCCGATCCCCCCGTCTTTTCTCCCTCTTCACGTTACATCCACGCGAGTTTCTTTCCCAGCCACATAATACCTCGTTGCTTCTACAACATACGTGCGTGTCGTCGCCTTCGTCGTCATCATCGTTGTCGGTCTTGGCTTTTCCTGTCGACGTTCGCCACCGATGCGAGAGGTGCTGCTGTTGCTGCAACTGCTACCACCATCTCGTTAATAGAGAAACGAGCGCGCGCCGTTCAGAGGAACGTAGTAGGTGGAGGACCGATCGAGATCGTCCCGTGCACCGGGTCACCGCTGCTGACTGACCGGACCCAACAGGAGCGCGTGTGCCGAGCAAAAAGATAGATAGAGAGAGAGAGAGACAGACAGACAGACAGACAGACAGATAGTTGTGTGTGTGTCGGAGGAAGATAGAGAGAGGGAGAGAAAGAGAGAGAGAGAGAGAGAAAGCTACAGAGAACGAGGAAGAGAACGAGGAAAAGGGTGAGAGTGTGAGCAGTGGAGAGGAGAGGAGAGAGAAAGAGAGCGAGGGGCCGGCGCCCATCCTGATCCAGCCAGCATGACCTCAAACAATTCGCAGAAGCTCTCGACGACGGAACGAGTAATCAAAAGTAAGACACGAGAAAGTTTTTCTTTGTTCTATACCGGACACTTGCTATTATTTTCTTTTTTTTTTTTTAAATAATATGAGATTTTATTCGTATGAGAAAGAAGAGTCATGCCGTTGTGTGCACGATCTCTCGAACGTTTCTTTCTGTCGGTACGTCAGATTTGTCATGAGCTATGGACTTACTACCACCCTACTTATACATATACAATACTTTTCTCCTCTCTCTCTCTCTCTCTTTACATTTATCCTTACCTCGTTATTTAATTCTTTTCTATTTCTGTACATTTGTTTTATTTTATATTTTTTTGTTTGTTTCAATACTTTGACCCTATGAGAATTTCTTCGAACGTGAATATCGATCGTCTAGTAGAAGATCCGCGTGTTAAAAGAGAGAGAGAGAGAGAGAGAGAGAGAGAGAGAGAGAGAGAAAGGAAGGTAGGAAGGAAGGAGGAATGAGATGCAAAAGAAAGAAAAAGAAAAGAGAGAAAGAGAGAGAGAAGCGCGTCAAAACACGACGTGTATGTCGCGCGGGATTGATTTTCTTCGTGGCCCCATGGCGCCATTGCTATCGACCTGACAACGTTCTCTCGCTGACCCTTCGTTTTTCGCCTTTCCTCGTCTCAACTCGCTCAACTATGCTCTTCTTGCGGCCTCGTTTTTGAGACCAAGCGCCGCATCCGTCGCGCGATCCTTCTACTTCTTCTTATATTCCTATTACTATTGTTTCCGATTCTTCTTTCTCCTCTACTATTTACTTATTTACTTCTTCTTTTTTTTCTTCTATTAATACAATTTTATTAACATTACACTGCATTACTATAATTAATACTATTATTTGTTCTTCTTATTTTATTTGTACTTTTACTACCTTTACTATTGTGTGTCTGTTTCTTCTTCTTTTATTACTTCTTTAATTATTTTACTACTACTGTTTCTGTTTCTTCTCCCTTTTCACTATTTCTTTACTTCTTCTTTCTTTACTACCCACTAATACTATTACTTCTTCTTTTACTACTACTGCTTCTGCTTCTACTCCTTATATTACTTCTTTAACTCTCTTCTTCTTCTTCTTCTTCTTCTTCTTCTTCTTCTTCTTTCTCTATATTACTACTTTTATTTCTTCTATTACTACTACACAACTACTATTTTTATTTTTTCCTAAACCATTATTCCTTTCCCTACATCTACTTCCCTTTTATTTTTCCTCTACTACTACTACTCACTCCTTTTACTTTTTGTTCTACTAATGCGTCTACTTTTAACACTTATATTACAATTACTTCTATTTTTTTACTTCCTTATTTCGTTTTTTTCCACTCTTTAAATTCTTCTTTTTTTCTTTTTTCGCGAGAGGAGAGGATGGGAAAGATGAGAGTCTCCTTCTTTTCGAAGCACGCGAGCACAACCTCGTTTCACTCGAGGTCGAGGAACGGAATCGTCTCGAGGACGTTGTTTCGTTGTCGTCGTCGTCGCGGCGGACTTGAAAATTCGCGTCTCGACGCACCAAACGTGCAAGCAAACGAACGAAAAAAAGAAACGGAAAAAACAGAAAAAAAGAAGAACGAACGATCGATTGATCGAGCAGCGAACAGCTGACCGAGCGCGGTCACGCGTCTACCCTCAACCCCCTTAGTTTTCTAGCCCAACCCCCCGTTGCCGTTGCCACAGCGGTGCCGCAACTGTGCCGCAACCGGACAGATCGACCGTTTCCGTTTCTCCTACCAATAGATCGACCATTTACAATTTTTAAAAGATTACTAATTGAATGGGTGTCTAGAAGAACAATAGTTTATTTTATATTTCGTATAATTGCAATCCACGTTAAATTGGTCATACAAATATTTCACTCGTTGCGGTTAATAAATAATATTTTTTTTATTGTTGGATTATGATTATTTATTTTTTAAAATAAAAAAAGTTGTAAGTTAGGTTTACCTATAAATTTTGATCGAATGTAACATGTCCACTCTTTTTTTTATATAGAAAATTGTTGAATTATTTTCGATTGTTTTTCTAATAGATAGATATACCCTTAATCCTCTTATGTAACACCCTTTCGATATGATATTGAGGAGAACATAATTTACGAAAGCCCTTTTATAACACGATACTCTTATTATCATAATTTCCATGTATATAGGATGATTTAATAATAAACCTTGGACAACCCTTGTGTAGCTTGAATATTTCTGCCACCCTATATTTGGTTTCATTTAATACAGATTTCGATACGACATGGAACGAATTAACGTATTGAGAGGGTATATTTTCGAGGAGGAACAAAAGGAGGTGATGGTAATGGCAGCGGCGAAGAAGAAGAAGAAGAAGAAGAAGATATGTTCGATTCACGTGTCGTTGCTCCTAATAATAGATGAGAAAATTTCGTTTGAGTTGAGAAAAGGTCGCCACGTATATATATATATATATATATACACATATGTGTATATACATTTACCACTGAACAACCAAATCGTGAGCCAACTATGTTCCCATCCTCGTATCTCCACAGTTATGGCCCTTCGCCAGCGTGCAACGTGACTACCTCTTTCTCTTTCTCTCTCTTTATTTATTTTCTTTTCTTCTTTTACTCCCTATTTTCTTCCTATTTATTGTTATATACCGCATTATTCAGAAGTAACTAAAATAACGTAATATGAGTTAAGGAATTTTATACTTTCAGAAATGTACGTACTTATTTTATTGGAAATAAGTAAATAATAATTAAAGACATTTTTTAAGTTAAAATGGAGAATGTTTTTTGAGGGAAAACGGAGACGAAGAAAATGATGGGAGTTTGTTTAGAAAATTGATCGGGGTTGAAAAGATGTCTGTAGGAAGTGAGAAAGTGTGGGTGGAAATAGGGGAGTTTTTTGATGGAATAGAACTGTTAAAGTTTAAACAGTATTATACAATGATGTCTACGGTTGTTACAATATTTACGATAAAAGTAATAGTAGCTATTATTATTATAAAATTTGTAATCTATATTTTAAAAATTGTTATATTTAATACTAGCTATAAAATCATGAAATATGTAGAGATATTCATAAAAATCAATTATTAAACATACAATCACTTTATCTGCGTTGGACAAAAATAATTGGAATTTTAAACAAATAATCATACACACTTACGCAGATTAATTTTTGTATATTTAAAAAATTAATAAAATTATATATTTCTTTCTATTTTTGCAAATTCCCCCTATATCTCCAATTCAGCATTGCGTTAGCGTAATAATGTCATATTTGACAAGAGAAAATATAGGTACTATAGTTAATATATAAGTACTTATAATAATGGCGAAAGGGAAACGTCATTTTCGTTTAGTGCTTTACACGATCGACTACTGTTATTGGGTCTTCGTTACTGTTGCGAGTTACGGTATGCATACTGATGCTAATAATGGGGATACTAATGATCACAGCGTTTCTCAACTTTTCTGTTCTGCAATCCAATAAACTTGTTGGTAATCATATACCTTGACCGAAATATCTTTATATTATACAATTTTTACGAAAGAATCTTATAGATTAGGGATTTTTCAATTTTTCTACTTGACGATCCCTTTTATTCGCGAGCTAATATTTTCTATAATATCTTCTCTTTTACTATCATAAATTCATACATATATTATTCCTGTAATATTATCAAATTGATTTTGAATTAATTTTCGGTCGTTGAGCGTTCAGAAATATTTTAGTTTTGTTAACATTTCTGCGACCCGTAAATTTAATTACGCGGTTCACACTTTAAGAAGCCTTACTATAGACTGAAATAATAGTACATTATATATATATTATTGTAAAAATACGATAGAAATCTCACAAAATCGCAAGAACATTTAACGAATAAAATTATTATTGAAAATTTTTCATAAACAAATTCCTTACTTGTTTTATTTGATAAGGTAACACATATATTATTTTGTCGATCTATTAAAAATATAACGCGACCTATACTTTGAGAACTACTGCCAATCGTAATGGTATAACAGTTAGAAAAGATTTTCTATCTGACGTGAGAGGAAGGAAGAAAGAATAGAGAACGATTAGTAATCGATTAGTATTCTTTTTTTGGGCATTTAATTGGAAGTCAGAAAAGTGAAAAAAGGAGAAACCAATTTAGGATTTGTGGTGGATGCACAGGTGGCAAGGGTCTGGTCATTGACCCTTACCGAGAGTAGTCCGTGACTCCCTCCCGAGTATGCTCTTGTATATATATATATCTTCTTTTTTGGAGCTATGCAACCGTGCTTTGATATGAGAATGAGAGAGGTGGGCTGAAAAAGGGAAGAAATACTTGTAGCGACCCTTAAAAAAGCCATTTTCAAATTTCTTGGACCTTTCTAGCAAAACTTGGACAATAGTAATACATTCATTTTTAAAAATGAATATCAAAATGACGTCACTTCGAATTTAACTATTTTCTTTTTTTCTTATTGGTAGATATTTTCAAAATTTTTATAATTGAGTCAGGTTCTAAGAAAATAATAAATAAACGGTTCTTCCTTTTAAAGTCTTCCCAAAAAGATCCAGTTTTAATAATTCTTATAGAATAATTATATTTAACATGTTTATACGTTTATAAAAATTATTCGACTTTATAAATTAATACATACTTTTAAATCGAGATTCTAATGAGAATTCTTAAATATTTAAAAATAAGAATAAATGGACTTTCAAAAAAAAAAAAAAAAGGAAAAGAAAAAGAAATAGAACTGTACATAAACGTATGTATTTTCATGCACTCGTTAGATCGAAATGCAAGTCGATATGCGCGTCTCTTCTTCCGCTTATGATCTCTTTCTTTTTTTTTTTTCTTCCCTTTTCTTTCTTTTCTCCTTTTTTTTTAATCTCCTTTTTTTTTTATCTCCGACGAGTTCCATTGTCATTATTGTAGCGGTCGTAATTAAGCGAAAGGGTTGCTGCGCAACGTACAACCAACGTGATAAGGTTTTGACGCCGTTCAGTTATTCCGCGTCGCATTCATTGCTATCTT